TGCAGATGAGGAATGGAGATGCCATCTGCATATGAGTGACCACAGGACTATGTGTGTACTCCATGCCCAGGAATGGGTGCCCAGCCGCATGTTAGATGGTGGCTAATAGGTAATTTCCCTCCCCACTCCCCTTGGGAAACTCCCTTCAGCTTTTGCTGAATCCCAGTGAGAAAGGGGCAAGGGGGGAGGGGTCATAGGGCTGACTCGGGCCTTCCATGGAGTGGCCATGGCTGTGGCCAGCAGATTTCCATGACCCAGGGCCTGCAATTAGTGCTGAGAACCATTTAGCAGGTCGCCCAGCAGGCTCACTCAGGTCTCATCTCCAGCACCCTGCCTAGGCTTTCTTCCCTTAAAAATTGATAGGTTTAAATCGTGTCTTAAATGGAGTGATTGGGAGGTAAACAAATCCTGGGTCTTGTGCAGTCTTAGCTTCCTGTGTGTGTCCTCTTCCCATGAGAGCTACTCAGTGCCTGGCTCCCATCAAAGGTGGCATCCCTGGGCACCCAGAAGCTGGGTAGGAGGTGGCTGTAGAGGGAGTATTAACCCACAGATGTGTGATGATGGCTATGTGCTGCATTGTGGGGCTGGGGACAAGGTGTGAGCCAGCACTGCCTAGCAGAGCAAGGTGAAGGCAGATCGGCAGGGACTGGCCCAGTGGGTAGGCCAGTGGCATGGCAGGTGGCTGCCATGGTGGGGCAGGGAGTGCATCGGCACAGGCTAGAGGAAAGGACTGGCCTTGTGAGAATAAAATTGAGGGTTTGTTCCTTGTGAGTCTAAGGTTACAAATAAGGGTTTGGCGTTTGCTTTGAATATTGTTGCAGAGATAAGCACTTCCCACTTCTTTCCTGGAAATCATCCAGAAATACCAACCAGAGTGAAAAACAAAATGGCACACTTTTGTTTTGGCAAAACTGTAATAGAGCTAAACCCAAGCCCCAAGCAAGAGGCAAGGGGCCCATAGCAGAGGAGGAGTGTGCAATATGCAGTCTGCAGAGCCACAGCAAAGAGCTCCGAGAGGGAACCAGCCTCATGAAACCTATCTTAAGGGGGAGAGGAGCTTCATGAGTTGTGGTCCTGAGCCCCCAGTTTGCAGCTTTGGGGTGAGGACATGGAGGAGTGTGTGTGAGGGAGCCCATGCATATCTGTGCTTGAAGCAGGAAGGACAGCTGTCACAATGAGGAGAGAGCTTCTCACTCAGAGGGAAGTAGTGGCTCTGATTGAACTTGCCACAGAGCTGCCAGATTGAGTCAGAGGAAAGAAAACAGCTCTGTCTATCCCCAGTGCAGCTTCAAATGCAAAGCTGGATCTGATAAAAGTCACTTTCGGTGATGAACAATGAATATGAGACGAAAGGAGAGAAATAGGAAAAACAGAATAGAAAAGCTCATGGAAAAAGTTGACCTCAAGTAGATGAAGATGTATCCACATGCTTTGTCAAGAAATGGAGGTTGGCAATCCTGCCAATTCCGAAGCTGAAGTAAAATGTGGTGCCCAGACAGGAGAAGGTGCAGGCGAGACTGGGGTGTCCTCAGGCAGGGGAGGGGGCAAGAATGAGAAGGAAGGTGGATGAGAGGAGCACACGGCAAAGGGGTGATTGCAGAACCCGGAAACAGCCAACTGCAAGAACATTGCCTATTTAATTGGAAATGTAAGTGAAGGTGGAAGATAGAAAAGAAACACTAACAATGTAAATATTATGGGTGCTGGTGGATTTGTATATTTAATGAAAAGTGTTGAGATAGAGGATGAAGGGACAAAATGAGTTTCTCATCATCAGTAGCTAAAGATGAAAACATACCCTGTTGGGGTAGCATCAAGTAGTAGTAAGAGTGTATAACTGTGTATTAGGCTTCTCCACAGGAACACGAACCAATAGGATCTGTCTGTCTAAAAAGATGGACCCTAAGGGATGGGCTCATCTGATAATGGAGTCCAAGGGTCCCGCAGCTGGGATGATCATGTAATTGTGGGGCCCAGGAGCTCCACAGTCTGTATCTGCCAGTTGGAGACCTAGAAGAGCCAGTGATGCAGTTCCACTGCAGGCTGACAGCCTGAGGTGCAGGGAAGCCAATGGTGGGAATCCCAGCCTGAGGCAGGAGAAGGTGAGCTCTGAGATGTCCCAGCGGGAGCAGTGAGGAGGGAAGGAAGAATCCCTCCACCCAAGATCTTTGTTCTCTTCAGCCCTAGCAGGCTGGGTGCTGCTGACCACACTGGAGAGGGCAGTCTCCTGAGTCCCCCGATTCTAATGTGGATCCACCCCACATTCACCTCACAGACACGCAGATACGGTGTTCATGTGGGCACTTCTGGCCCAGTCCAGTGGACACGTGGAATATAAAAATAAGCCTTGAGGAGAGTGAAATATTTGACTAGATACTCAATAGGACAGCGATTGATACAACTTAACACAAGAAAGTATGGACATAATACAAAGATAACTTACAAAAGCAACCAGTACAAAAAGTATGCACTGTTGTTAAAGCTATAAAAAACACAAGAACCTAATCCAATAGAAGTAAATACAGATCAAATTATAAATGGGCTAAACTCCCCCACTAAAAGGTAAAGACTTTCTGGGAAAGTTGGAATTTGTGTCCCCAGAGCCCACCCGGCAGTCATAAACACAGAAGCAGGAGCCATTGTGCTGGTTGCAGTCAGATCTGAGTTTGTGCCTCAGTGCTGTTGGTGCAGATGACTTGTGTGGGAGAGGATAGCACCACCACCCAGGAAGCACAGGAAGCGGAGAGGCTGGGGACAGACAACCTCCCAGGACTGTGATGTGATAAAATTTGAAATCAAGAACATGACTAGAAAAAGAAAAGGCTCCCAGTTCAGAAATTCAAAAACAAACAGGACTGGGGATTTAGCTCAGTGGCTCCACCGCCTGCTTTGCAGGCACAAGGTCCTGAGTTCCATCCCCCGTACCAAAAAACAAAACAAAACAAAAAAAACCCCAGAACATTCTGTCTTAAATTTTGGTTGGAAGAAAGAAAAGCAGATCAAAAGCACATAATATCTGGAAAACAGTTGTAGTGAAAGCACTCATCAGAACCAGCAGAAACATTTTAAGTTCATGGTTTAAATACTGTGGAACAATACACGAACTTACTTCCAGCAGCAAGGGTGAGAGACCAAGTAAAAGAAACCCCAGAAAGACAAGAGTTAGGACTGTGTAAAGGTTAAACAGAGGCTAATTGGGGGGGGGGGGGTAGAAATAATAAGTGATTCCACATGGCTGTTGTTTGAAATGAAGACAGTAAAACAATGAATTATTCACAGTTATAGTAAAAAATTAATAGATAGCATCGCCACCCAAAATAAGTAGGATAAATTACCTTGGCATTGTGGCTAGAGCGGGCATGCACAAGAGCCCCTATGGGCTAAGGACTCTGTACGTGGCTAGGCAGGGCCCCACTGACACCTCTTGTGCACTCGTGCTATGTGTGTTGTGCCCCCAGAGTAAGACAAATGACAAAAAATGAATCTTAAAAGAATATTGTGGGCTGGGGATTTAGCTCAGTGGTGCTGCCACCTGCCTGGCAAGCACAAGGTCCTGAGTTCGATCCCTGGTACAAAAAAAAGAATATTGTTTCCACATGTCTTCTGTCAGAAAGAATTATGAATATCACATCTCCCTTTTAAAAAAAATTTTTTTTGGTACCAGGGATCAAACTCAGGACCTTGCGCTTTCAAGGCACGCATCAGAACCACTGAGCTAAATTCCCGGCCCTCACATCTCCTTTTAAATAAATGCCAACATCCAAAACAGATTGTATTTTCCTAGAAAGTTGTTCATTAGTACTGACTCCAGAAGAGATAGAAATTCTACACAAGCCACTGGGGTAGTGTGAAGTTGTCACAAAGCAGTCATTGCTGCTGTGCCCCTCTTCCCCAGCCGGAGTGCAAGGAGCAGAGTCTCCTTCCGGGAATCCTGCAGGCTGTCAGGATGCAGGTGTCTCTGTGGGCCTAGGAATGATTCAGATTGTGGAGGACAGAGGGAGACCCTCAGGGGTGAGCTTTGTGTCTACACCAATGACTGCAGAGACTGGATAAGTCTGTGTACACATACACAAAACACACACACACCAAAAGAATCATCCTGGTGATGATCAGAGCCAATGTACTAGGAATAAAAACCAGCAGCACCTTAAAATAGACCATTCTGTTCTGTCCCATGCTGCTCTAACCGTACCTGAGACTGGGTGATTTCTAATGAACAGAAAGTTATTTGGCTCACAGTTCTGGAGCCTAAAAAGTCCAAGGTCGAAGGCCTGCATCTGACAAGGAAGTCACAAGGTGGTGGCACGTGTGGGCTGGCTTAGGAGGTGCCAGAGCCTGGCCTGGGGCTGTGACACTGACCTGTAGTCCCTGGTGAAGCTTCAGTAGTCCTTCCAGCCCCCTGGCCTTGGGGGTCACTGGGTTCTTAGCTAGTCTGCACCTGGTTGGAGGAAGGGCTCTCTGGACACCCAGGAGCCTGGGTTGGCCTGGGTATCTGCTGGCACCCGGGCAGCCCCTGGCCAGTGGCCTGCTCTCTCTGTAGCCTGTGTCTGTCTAGCTCCCAGGTGTGCCAGAGCAGCTGCTGTCCACCTTCCAGGCAAGGCAGGTGGCTCAGGCCATTCTATGGAGGAATCTGAACTAGTGAAATAAATAAAATACTGTGATTGCTCAGTCAAAGGCGTGGTAAATTTAGAACATTCTTTCCAGCTGCTTTGTCCCTCTTTGTCCCAGAGATTTTGTTATTTCCCCTCAGCACTCCCAAAATGGCTGTCTCTGTGGCTAATCTGCAGGCAGAAGTGGTGAGGAGGAGAAAGGGCTGTTTGTACAACTTAGTGTGCCTTTGGCCCAGTGGCTTCAGGTCCTGGGGTTCCCAGGAAAATAGTTGGTCTGCCCCCGGTGCCCAGCACAGGTCGGGGTCCTGTCATTGGGACTCATGGGGCCACACACTCTTGGCAGTCCTGAGCAGCCCCACACTGCTGACCATTTGCTCTGTTTTCTCACAGCTGGAGATGGAGCTAAAAATACTGAAGTCTCAGCCGCACTCTTCTGAGCCAAGCTTCCCGTTCTGCAGAGAGGAGGTGGACACGCTCAGGTTGGTCCCTTGCTCGGGGCTGCCAGCCGCCCCTGTGCCATTCCCCCACAGCTGGAGTCTGCGTGATCCCCTGTCTCTGCTCCTCCTGGGAGCGTCCATATCTCTGTCTCATTCAGTCCACTTCGGTTCCTCTCTGCAGAGACTGGTCTCTACTGGGCCGGATCTTTCTAGTGTCCCTTCCATTGCCAGCACTGATAGCCAGGCCCTGAGCAGCTCTGTGCTCAGGAGCAATCAGGTGCTTCTGTCAGGGCATCTGGAGGACCACCTCTGCTGCCAACAGAGTGAACCAGCCCATTGTCTGCGTGCCAGCTCCAGGGACAGCATAGGGACCACAGGCAGTGGTGTGTTGAGGTACCCAGACTAACATTTTTCAGAGAATGAGTCACAGAAGCAGCAGCTGGACCAGACATGCTTCACATATGTCCGCTGGGACCCTCAGTCCACATTTTAAGAGGAGCTGAAGATGCTGTGAGCTGTGGTTCTTTCCAGAGCTTCTTGTTTCCTTTTTCTCCATAGCCAAATTGAGGTCCTTGAGGAAGACCTCATGGAGGCAGAAGTGCAGGCAGGGCTCTGAGCAGCCCCTCCTACCTCTTCGGGCCATGTTGGCCCTGAAGTTTCAATATCTAATTGAAACTTAGATAATAACTTAATCCATGGTGGGCGTTGGCAGCATCCTGGCATCACTGGTGGGAGAGACAGCTTAGGATGAAGAGTGAGTATGGCAGAGCGGCTGCCTGCATCTCCCCTTGATCATCTGCCATGGGCCAGGCACTGGACATCCTGGGCTTCCCATGGTGGAGCTGCTTCTGGTGGGTGAGAGGAAATGGGCCTGGAGACCCTCGAAGCCCCGGTAGGTGCTTAGTGGCCCATTGATGAGGTGGTATGGAATGAGGGAGCAGCCCTCCCTGGACAAGGCGGCTGAGTTCCCAGCAGAACAGGGCAATCCTGGACGTGTTGCTGAAATGGCCTCAGCTGGGTCTATCTCTCTCTGGGCTCTATTTCCAAGCAGTGAGGGCTGGAGGACTCCTGCTCTGTAGGGTTGCTAGGATAAAACCAAGGAAAGGTGTGTGATGCCTCCACTCCAGCTGGAGCAGAGATGCTGGGTGAACATCAGCTATGGTCCCTTCCAGAGCTAAAGTCTTCCCCTCATTTCCAAGGCATTTCTCATACACGCACCAGCACCTCATAAATACCTCTTCGGGGTTACACAGGGTTTCGGGTTGTTTACATTAGTCCCAGCATGTGTTCACCCTGACGCATGTACCATGGGCACTGTTGGGCTCTGCGCTGGAGTGATGGAATGGTGAGCAGAGACACACGCTCTGTCTTCATCAATTTTACAGTTTAATGGGGACTTGGGGGCGTCATTCACAGGGAACTATGACTCTAAATATGAGTGAGAGGAACACGGGAGCTCTGAGAGCAGTGTCTGGGGGCAAGGATCCCCCTGAGCATGCACCTCCATGCCACCGTGGGTTAGCCAGTGGGTGCAAGAGGAGAGGCCACTGCAACAGCAGGAAGCTGGCTCAGTGGGGGTTTGGCATTTGTCCCACTCCATGGGAACCCATCAGGAGTTTTAAAATAGAGGAGCAACACAATTGGATGTGTTGCATCAAGCATGGGGGCCTGCCAGGCCTGGACAGGGAACTTGGCAAGGGCGTGCCACTGTCCCCCAGCCAAGTGCTGGGCAGGCACTTCTGAGCTCAGGGGCTGTTCCTGGGCAGAGAGAGTGGGACATGCCTCACACACCCGCTTACTCATGGAGCAGCTTGTGTGTGATAAAGACCCTCACCATGCAGAGGGGTGGGCTGGGTTCAGGGCAGGAAGTGGTTGAGCAAACTGTGGAGGTATGGCATAGAAGGGACTCTGGGCAGGTTCAGAGCATAAGGCCAAGGATGGCAAGGGCAGCCGTGCTTCAGCCTGTGTCTGCTGCACGAGGAGCCAGGGCCAGCAAGTGCCACCCACAGGGGAGGGCACCCAAAGGCAGGTGGTGGAGTAGAGGGCTGGGCCACTGACAGGTGGAGGAATGGAATGGTGAATGTGTTGCAGGCATGCCGTCAGCTAAAGCTGCAGAGGGGGACATCCCACCCCAGGTCCCAGTGCTCCTCTTAGACAGGGATTCCCTGCTCTCCCAGGCCTCAGTTCCTGTGCCCTCCATTCTGCCCAGGGGGAGTATGGTCTGGCATGTGTGGGGTTTGGGCAGAATGACACACTTCTGGTTCATTTATTTTCAAGACTGTGAAAGGGCCTTACCGCTGATGTCTGTCCTACCAAGAGCAGAGCCTCAGCACACTGAGCTGTGGAGGGACAGGCCTTTGTGGCTACTACCGGAATGTGGTGAGCGTGTGCCAGAGGCTCTGCTGAGATGAGGCAGCCACCCCGTCTCGGCCAGCTCTTTGTCCTCCAGCTGGAGACCTGAGGTGGTGTGGGCCCTCGCAGGTACCGTCATCCCATACTGCTGTGGGCTTGGAGTGTGTGGCAGGGACCTTGGGTGAGCAGGGCCTGTGTACCAGGGTTTGCTCCTGTGAAGGACTGGTCTCCCCTCACCCCTCCCTGGTGAGTGTGAAGTGTGCTTCCTGCAGGCCCTTGCTGCAGGGTGGTTTCTGTAGCAGTTGGCTCACAGGAAGACCAAGGGGTCCTCACCCAGGACCATAGTTGGCCACAGAGGAGCTGGTGGTGGTGCTGGGCAGATGAAGGTGGCTCACAGAGTGCACACTTACCTAGATGCATAGCCATGTGTTGTTATGTGTAAGCTGTGTATATCCAGCACATCACAGCATCCTTCCAGCATGGAACAGTGGAAGCCTCAGTGCAGATTTAGGTGGCAGCAGCTGAAGCCCTTCAAGTGGAACAAATCTGGATTCGTTATTTTCTGCTGTCAGATAGCAGCTCTGGCAAATCCTAAATGTTGTCTGTGGATTTAGCAACTAGGTAGACTTTCAGTAATTCCAGCGGCTCACATGTCTGTGCCAATGCCTGTTAGTCACACTTTGGAGCCCGCTCCTTTCCCAGCCACGCCACTCCCTGCTGGGTCCTGTGGATGTGCTGGCCAGGCCCCAGCCCTCATAAGCATAACCAGGCTCTGGGGACACTGGAGATGCTGGTCCACCTTGGCAGACAGCGGGGCACTCTGATCCCCACCTCATGTGCGCTCATGAAGTGGGAAGAGAGTGCCCTGTTGGCTGGAAGCACATACTAGGATTGGGCCCCCAAGCAGCTGGCTGGAAGTGCATTGCCTAGTTTGTTACTGTGCCTTCACCAGGGGTCCTGGCTGGGTCACTTCTCTGGGGAGCCCTCAAGATTACTGTCTTCTTCTCTTCTCTTGGCCTGGTACACTTTTGGATACCCGGGCCTGGTAGGTATGAGCCTGTGCCACCAGTTCCCAGAGTTGAGTTAGGCCAGCACTGGAAGCTCAGCATCACAGTGGGACCTTAACCCCAGCCCCAAGTGGGTAACCTTGCTGTGCCTTGTCTGAGGGCTTATCCCCTGCCCAAGAGCCCTCTGCTTTCTCCCAAGAGAAGGTGCCTCTAGTACTCTGCAGAGACATGGGGTCCCAGTGTGAGACGTGGCTAGGGTGAAGTGATAGTTTTGAAAGAGGTCCTCCACATCCAACTGGTCAGTGGGCAGCCCATCTCCTCCCAGGTCTCCCCCTCCACCTGCAGACCTGGACAGATACAGCCGGCTGGTGAGAGAAAAAGGTGGCCTGTTGTGGACCCCACTTACATGTCCAGGAGGAGCCCTCAAGACTGCCTATCCAGAGCCACCCAGACACAGAGAGGTCTCTGAGAAAAGCTGAATGTAAGGAAGAAGCAGCCCAAGTGCAGGGAAACCTTTGTGATTGTGTCTGTCTGACTGGCTGTGTGCCAGGGAGGAAGATGCCCCTCCACCCTGCCTACACAGGGACACAGTGGTACATGGTCTCTGCCTGCAAGTGTGGTCCCCACCAGAGCCCATGCGACAGGGCTAGAGCCAGCCAGGGTCCTGCTCAGCCGAGGTGGGTGGTGGATGCTGCTCTGACTGTCCTCCACAGTGGGTCAGGTGCCAGAACCTCCAAACACAGCAGAAACAGCTGAGTTGCAACATGGGCAGATCCACACCTGTGCCCAGGATGCCTGCCAGCACTCTCCACAGCTGAAGAGCAGCTAAGATGTGGAACTAACTGAATGTCGCTGTTGGCTGACAGGGCCTCCAAGCATTTGCAGGGACTCTATGCATGGCTCCTCGTGTCCACCTGGGGCATCCACTATGACCAGCCATTTCTTAGATCATAAAACAAACCTTAGCAAAATTAAAGGAATCAGATCATACAGAGTGTATTCTCTGGCCACATTCAACTCAAACTAAAAGTCAATAACAAAAACAGCGAGAAAATCTCCAAACATTTAGAAATTAACAACACGTTTCTGAATTGCTTGTGTGTCAAAGAGGAAGTCACAAAGGAAAAATAAAAACAATTGAACAATAATGAAAATACACATATCAAAACTGTGTCAGACATGGCTAGCCCAGTCCTGAGAGGGATACTTGAAACACTTAACGTTTGCAGTAGAGGACAGGATAGGTCTCTTAACTCACGTGCCCACTTAAAAACCTGAGAAGAGCAAAGGCAGCTCAGAATAAGCAGAAAGAAGGAAATAATAAAGAGTACAAAGTAATGAAACAAAACCAATAGAGGAAATTATTGAAACAAAGAGCTGGTTTTTTGAAATAAATTCCATAAAATTGATAAACTTGCAGCAAAACTGACAAGCATGAGTAGCCACAAGATACAATTCCCTGGTATCAAGAATGAAAATTGGCCCTCACAGTAGGTTCTGCAGTGGCTGAGGGATATTCTGAACACTGAACAGCTTCACACTTCTACATTATTTAGTTAGGAATAGACCAACTCCTCAAAACCCCTAAACCTCCAAAACTTAACCAAGATGAAATAGACTATCTGAACAGTCTTAAACACATCAGAAAACTGAAGTCATAATTAAAATGCTCCCAAGAAAGGT